CGCAAACATCCCTATTAAACATTTCTCCCCCCCCCCGTGAAGGGACTCGGTTAACTGCCGTAAACAGGGCGTCCTTCAGTGAGAACGTCCAGACACACACACACACACACACACACACACACACACACACTCATGCAAATCCAGTTCTGGGCTTTGAGTGGCCATTTAGAAATCTGGACGGCGGTTCACTGACCCATCGCTAACAAGGCAGCGAGCCCGGCCTTTTAGGAGCAGCGCCTCTTATCTAGTGGCCACACAGAGCTGGCTATCTCCTGACCGCGTTTGACCACTGGTTAAACTGATTAGCCCGTCGTCCAGTCAACTTACAGTAAGCAGAGACACAGTGATGAATGTGCAATACACAGTTTTGGCTCAGCGTACACTGATTGTGTAATGCAAGGTATCTTTTTTTCTTTTTTTTTTGGTGTGCTTGCAGCAGCCTAAAGGTGCGTGTTTCCCAGTGTGATATGACAGCAGAGCACTATAGTATTCAGAGAGGCAAACAATAGCACAGCCTCTCTACGACTATCTGTCCAGTCACATCGGACAAATGGTCAGCGGTGGAGAGATGGTGAGAGTGGACGTGTGATGGCCCAAGTGTCAGGGACTGGGGATTCACCCGTTTAATGAGAATCTATGGCCCGGACTGATAAAGGGCCTGACTGAGAGGCTGTGACAAGTCCTAATGCTCACATGTATAAATGATGTGGGTGGGCGGGTGGTTGAAGGGGGTGTCGGATGTGTGGCTGCGTGGACACGATCCTCACAGAGCACAGGAGGTGGTGTTTGGCAAGAGGAACAGGCCAGAATGGGTGAATATATGTTTGAAAAAAAACCCACAAAAGCCCTGAAAATCCACTCAGAAAGAGCAGTGAGAAGAGAAAACGTTAACAAAGGAATCCGAGGAAGCATTAAAGACACAGACATTCATAAAATAATAGTGAAATTAATCAGACATTAAAGGAACACAGTGGTATGTTTTGGGGAAATGCTCTTGAGAGAGATGAGGCGCCACCGTAAAAATCTGTTGGTTAAATGAGAGGCTACAGGTGGTTCACTTAGCTCAGCACCAAGAGGGGAAACAGGGGTGAACAGTGAGCCAACGAATCCCATCACCAGCACTAAATAACACATGGTGTCTAAGCTAAACAGTTTCTAGCTGTTTCATGGAGGTGGTTGGGTCTCTGGTGGGATTTTTCTCAGGCTGAACCAGTTACCAGGGAGCCAGCAGAGACTCAGAGAGGATTTCCCCCAAGAAATAGTCCAGCAGGGCACCAGGAATAATAATAATAAAAAAACAGGTTTTCCACTTTTTCCTTTGTGCAGATTAATGATCTTCAGACGTACTGGTAGACAAATTTAGTTAGTTTAGGAATTTTGTTTGCCTGTTTCCAGTCTTGATGCCGTAAACTAAGCAGGCGCTGGATTCATCTTCATGCGTTCATTGGACAGAAATGAAAGCGGTATCAATATTCTCACTTAACTAAGTCTCTACCAGAAATCTTATTTCCCAAAGTGTTGATTTATTCCATTAAAACTTGATTTCAAGGTGTAACCAAAAAAAAATGAAGTTAAAAAAAAAAAAAAAAGTGTCTCTAAGCATAAATCATAGTTTTATTTTGATTTGCATTGATGGAAGTGGCATTTGTACTCCGCTGTGTGGCGATTATTCAAAGGACTGCACATCTGAAACAACAATTCCAAAAAGTACACACATGCCTGCACACACACACACTTACACACACTTACACACACTTACACACACATACACACCGAGCCTTTGTTATGTTGAGAGCGTTTGTCTCTGTACGGCAGAGAGGGGTTAAAATCCGATTGAGTCGATATCACTGGAGAATAACACATTCAGCGTGCAGTCTGAGTGTGTGTACGGCTGTGTGCTTGTGTATGCACATGTGTGTGTGTGTGTGTGTGTGTTTGTGTGTGAGCAACACGGAGCCCAGGGACTTCCTCCCTCTCCGTCTACAGCCCTCAGTTGAAATAGAATTGAATAGTCTGAATCCTCAATGGTAAATGTTCACAAAGTCAATACCAACTGTTAAGTCTCCCCTGCATTGGGGTTAAGGGCATTACCATTTCTGAGACTTGAGGAAAACACACACACACACACATAGACACACACACACACACATGCAGGGAAGGCATACTCACCAGATGCCCCATGAGATGATAAAATATTTTTGAGTCTTTTGCAAAATGCTTACTGTACATTCTGCTTAAAAATTCCCTTTCACTGTAACGTATTCATTGAAGGCTTGTTTTCATTTTTGTTCGCTAATCTCTGAACAATGATCCTGGTAGGCGTGTGGCATTTTTAAAGTGACATCGGTGCCTGAGGGACGGCGAAATCACTGATCTGACTAAGCACCGAATCCAGTTCGACTCAAGAATGTTTAAGCACACAAGAGGCAAAAGGGAATTGTATTAATATTAACTGCAGGAAATACATAATCACTGAAAAGATTTAAGGTTTAATAGCGTGCTGCTGGTGTGTTTTACTTGGCTGGAGTTGGAGCTAAAACAATACGTGCTGTATCGCTTACAGGTTGTCTCGATAATGTGGGTTATGAAAGTCTGGGCGGCTACAGAACAGCCTGGATTTTGTGGATACACTGCGATGCTCTATATATTTGTCCTTGTCAGCAAATCCCACAAAACGTTAGTCTCTCAAAACCACTGAAGCCCCAAGTCAATCAAATGCATAGTTAAAAAAACTGAAACAGCTGGGCGCCGTAGTTTTCAACTAACATCATGCACAGTGCAGTATATATATGTGTACCAGTATATAAGCATCTATAGTGTGTTTGCTGGGGCCTGCTTGGTCCCCTTTAGCCTATTTTTAGAGGTGAGATCAGCTGACATGGCTGCGTTCAAGGGGGTGGAGGGTGGCTTTAGACAAAAATTGAGGTTTATTGCACAAATGAATGATCTTATTTTACATTTAGCTCCACATTAACTTCTAGTGGATCATTTCACCATCAGTTATGATGCTTTAAGTGCATCAGTGTGATATAAAATCAGGTCGACAGCCACGCACAGCAGACTTGTAATGCATATTTTCACTGAATGTTCTGCCAAGTGAAGAGCTGCAACATAAACTCAGGGCTCTCTGGGTATTTGCAAGCCTTCGAAATCCGTCCAGTCCCTCTTTAGCTCGGGTCAGGCGCAGGTTAGTACGCTATGTGGTGGTGTTCAAGCAGCGTTTCTGTGCGGAACCATGATAAGTTAGTTTGGCCAAATTTGCTCCTCAGTGTGGTAGCTAGTTTTTACGAGTGGTGCAGCCTTTAATACGTCCTGCTGGTCATTAACGGTGGGCCAGCGTGGACCTTTTACCGCGGCGCGGCGTCTCATTTGAACAGCGAGCCATAAAACCCCAGGCTCTGCCACTCAGTGTCATTTAAACCAGGACTGATTGGAACTATCTCTGGCCTTTGCTTTCCCACCTTCCTCCCCGCTTGCGTTCTTTCCTGGTCGGTTCATGAATAATGAATGAGGATATATGCAGGCTGGAGCTCAGATATTAATGGAGCTGAAAAACAGAAGGAGAACCATCCTTTGTGCTGCCAGCCATTCCTTCTGTACGTCGCCGGAGCTGCCCCTGCCCGGTCGCCCCTTTTTCTTACCTTGCCTTTTCCTCCCTTATTCTTCCTTTCCTTCCTTCTGCTGCCAGTGGGCTGAGATGAGACAATGCTCGGTCTCTTGTTTCTCTCTTGCCTACAGTTATTCACTTCTCTCCCGGCTGTCACAGCGGGGGCAAAGGGTGGACAGTGACTATGAAATGATAGGGGCTAACTTTCAAATTATATTAAAAAAAAAAAAAAAGAGAGAGAGACAAAAGTGGGGGAGATAAATGAAAAGTTGACTTGGCTGGGTATGCAAGGTGGCTATTGTCTGTTCGACGAGCTCTCATTCATTCAAGGGCATAGCAGTGAGCTGTCTCCTTTGTTTGCCCCGGTCCTGTCTTTCTTCCAGCCCTTCCATGATCTGTCAACTCTGGCCAGAGAAGCCCCCGGCCAAACTGTGGCAGTCAAGGGCGAGAGGTACAGCACTGTTAGATGGAGGGCAGCGAAGTGAACACTGGCCTCAGCACACAACTGTACTCAACCGTAATATTCCAGACTTTTAAAACTTTTCTTCAAATGAACTGATAATACTGTAATCTGATGTATCTGTTGCAAAAAAAAAAAGAAAAAAAAATCTCAACTGTATTGCACTCTGTCAGGCAGATTTGTCGAGAGCAACCAACAAAGGCTTGCTGAAACCATGTGGCATGAGGGGGCTGGCAGTCAGTGAAGTCTGGCCCCGGGGCTGGCAGAGTCGCTGCCCATCCTTGGATGACTTGCCCAACTAGGCCAGAGGGCACAGATAATGGGCAGAGTCTTCTAACCCTTTATTTGTGCCAGAATGTCTCCACATTCAACAATGTCGCATCCGCACCTTATAAGGTCAGACAGACAGAGAATGGCTATTCTGTGGTCCACAAAACTGTGAGTTGGCTTCTGACGGAAGGTGCTGGTCGGCAGACCGGACCAGGCCGCCCTCAACCTCTGACCCACAGCTTTATTATCTTCTGTGTCCTCTGAGGACCAACTCTCATCCGTCACATATGTCCAGTAATATATGAATTTGACTGTTTTTGTCGTAAACTTTTTCATTTCACTGGTCGGCTGTAGTAGCCTCATTTCCAAGTTGTTTTTCACAGCACTGCTTTGTAAATTTACCTTGACGCCTCTCGAAGTGACACAATAAAGCCTGAACATGGTCCAGACTCCTCTCAAATGCAGCTCGTTTGAACATTTTGTTCGGATGGAGTCAAAATAGCTGCAGTTCATAATGGGCAGGGTGGGATTAAAGAATTTTAAAACAACGGTCAGTGGATCCAATTACACTGTCCGCCACTCTGGTAACATTTCATCAATATACTCATGCATTCTCACAGTCATTACTTTTTTTCATGCACACGCGTTGCACAATTTTAACTTTGCACAACTTGCTAATAGGACTTGCAAGTTGGCAGCGCTGTTTTGCTGTCCACATACTCCAAAGACTCATATAAAATATATTTCTACCACGAAGCAAGGTTTTGATCTTGGAAGTGAAGCAGAGTGTCAGTGAAATAGCGTTAAAAAGGAGTATAGTTCAAAAAGTTTAAAATTTAACTTTCTGTGCTTGCTTGGGTGAGCGTTTCAGCTAATTACGCACAAATCCCTCACGCTCACAGCTCCAATCCACCGGCACCGCTGTCTCGGCAGAGGACAAAGAAAACAAAGGAGACTGACAAACAAACAGTGAGTGAAAAAAAATATAAAAGAGAGGAAGCTTTCTTTCCATATAGCAGCTGAGCTGAGGCGACAGTGGCGTTTAATCAGTTGGTTTTTCCAGCACCGTCAGCGCGAGCAGCCTCGGTGGTGCAGCCCTCTGATCAGTGCTGGGAGAGGAGCTCCCCACCGAGCTGCTGCCGCCCCTGAACCGCAGGTCAGTCCTTGGTGAGTAGGTTTCATTCTGCTGTCGCCTTCATAGCGCCATCTCCTTCTCTCATTAAGATACAGTGTGCGTCTGCGTGCACGCGTGTGTGTGTGTGTGTGTGTGTGTGTACACGCATGTATTTATGGGCTTGTGTTTGTTTCTGTGTGTGTGTGTGTGTGCGTGGAGTAAATGCACCCCAGGACTAGCCTAAAGGGGATGTGGATTCCCGGCCTCCGCTGAGATACGGCACCACAACTAGGATTTCTACCAGTGGGGGGGTGGAGGCTGTGTGGGTGTGTGTGTGTGTGTGTGCGTGTAAATGTGTGTTAGACGGAGATGCAAGACGCATCAAGTGACTCGGTGCCTCGGGGTCAGACACACACACATGCAGAGAAGGAGCTGGTGCAGCGGCGGGGTAAACAAGAGCAGGCTGTTAGATCTCATCAGCCTCATCACATGCTTTATTATGCTGATTTGGGAGTATACTGTAAACTAATCAGGAATCCAGGAGTCACAGGGGGGCACTCGGCTTAAAGGTTAGGTGTATAGAGAGAGGGAAACTTGCTGTGCATCTAAACTCTTAACTTTTTTTAATCTCCTTATTTCCCTTTTCTGCTCACAAAGCTCGGCTGCCGCGACGCAGGAAGAACTTGCAGCTGAAAGGTTGCAACCTTTCACCCAGGTTTGAAAGGTCCACTTCATGTCTGCCGTGGTTCGTTTCAGAGGTGTGGTGATTGACTGGCACCGGGGAGCCTGGTGCGGACTGGGGATTTTGAATTGAAGTCAGGACTCTGCCTGTCTGTCGCTATATGCTAATATTGGCCTTTAAACAAATTCACAAAATACACTTCCAGCCTCATGTTTGTTCACTTGCATAAATGCATATGATTCTTATTCCGCGCTGAACATCTACTCTGACTTACACAACAACACAACAGTGGAATGTTAGAAAGTTCACAACGTCTATTAATTTTGAGGCATCTGAATAACATCTCAGTGTTTCTTAGACCTGGCTTCACGCCTAATAATAAAAAAAAAATAAAAAAAATCAATTAAAACGTCCCCTCTCGCTTTTTGGATGTGACTCTCTAAACATTTCTGTTTATGATTTTCTTTGATAAAATGTCTCCCGATTCAGCCTCCCCTAAACCGGGCTGCGAAAGAAGCTGCACACAATTTTAATTTGGCTTTCAGTCCGTCCACGCTCTCGACTCAGTGACGGCGCGTTTAACAAGCAGACGGAAAGAACACACTCTCGCTGAAATGTGGCAGATTAGCAAGTTAGAAAGCGAGCAGCAAACAAGCAGGCAGACTGGTGAGAAAAAGCTGGTGAGAGATTTTCTTTTCTGGTCATGGTGACAGAGCTGAGACAAGAGTATTAATTAAGAGTTTGTGGTAAATGCAAGGATGGATTGGGACGCAGGAGCAGCCCCTGGTAGCGCTGTCACCGTCATCAGCCACCGTGTGCACTTAAAAATATGTGCATTTTAAAACTATGCAGCATGGATTCTATTGCGTTAAATTATTTTTTAAAAGTCTGAAATGCAGAAATGGGTTCTAACTAGAATGTGTATAGGGTGTGAGTGTGCCGCAGAAGCGAGGCATTAAAGGTTAATGGAGCAGTAAAGCAAATGCTGGAGAATTGATGTTGCTGTTTAGACCAATCATTAAAGCAGCATTACACTAAGACTTCACTAAATGCCAAACTCACGATGGCATTTAGTGAAGTTAAACCACAGACGTTGACCAAAACTGCTTTCTAATTGAGATGAAAGATGAACATTACAAATTTATCTGAATAATTTAAATGTTAAGGTCAAGCCCCTTACAAAGCAGAAACCGTACAAATCCAACGACTTCCTTTAAGCAAGCGACAGTGGAGACTTTTTTTTGTAAGGAACAGACCTCCAGCAGAACCACAGCCCTCTGCCTCGACCGGGTTTGGGTGAGGGGAGAGCCGAGAGGAAAAAGGTGAGCAGCGAAAAACAGTTTAACAAAGAAAACAAAATCCACAGTGGGCAC